ACTCACTCACTCACTCACTCACTCACTCACTCACTCACTCACTCACTCACTCACTCACTCACTCACTCACTCACTCACTCACTCACTCACTCACTCACTCACTCACTCACTCACTCACTCACTCACTCACTCACTCACTCACTCACTCACTCACTCACTCACTCACTCACTCACTCACTCACTCACTCACTCACTCACTCACTCACTCACTCACTCACTCACTCACTCACTCACTCACTCACTCACTCACTCACTCACTCACTCACTCACTCACTCACTCACTCACTCACTCACTCACTCACTCACTCACTCACTCACTCACTCACTCACTCACTCACTCACTCACTCACTCACTCACTCACTCACTCACTCACTCACTCACTCACTCACTCACTCACTCACTCACTCACTCACTCACTCACTCACTCACTCACTCACTCACTCACTCACTCACTCACTCACTCACTCACTCACTCACTCACTCACTCACTCACTCACTCACTCACTCACTCACTCACTCACTCACTCACTCACTCACTCACTCACTCACTCACTCACTCACTCACTCACTCACTCACTCACTCACTCACTCACTCACTCACTCACTCACTCACTCACTCACTCACTCACTCACTCACTCACTCACTCACTCACTCACTCACTCACTCACTCACTCACTCACTCACTCACTCACTCACTCACTCACTCACTCACTCACTCACTCACTCACTCACTCACTCACTCACTCACTCACTCACTCACTCACTCACTCACTCACTCACTCACTCACTCACTCACTCACTCACTCACTCACTCACTCACTCACTCACTCACTCACTCACTCACTCACTCACTCACTCACTCACTCACTCACTCACTCACTCACTCACTCACTCACTCACTCACTCACTCACTCACTCACTCACTCACTCACTCACTCACTCACTCACTCACTCACTCACTCACTCACTCACTCACTCACTCACTCACTCACTCACTCACTCACTCACTCACTCACTCACTCACTCACTCACTCACTCACTCACTCACTCACTCACTCACTCACTCACTCACTCACTCACTCACTCACTCACTCACTCACTCACTCACTCACTCACTCACTCACTCACTCACTCACTCACTCACTCACTCACTCACTCACTCACTCACTCACTCACTCACTCACTCACTCACTCACTCACTCACTCACTCACTCACTCACTCACTCACTCACTCACTCACTCACTCACTCACTCACTCACTCACTCACTCACTCACTCACTCACTCACTCACTCACTCACTCACTCACTCACTCACTCACTCACTCACTCACTCACTCACTCACTCACTCACTCACTCACTCACTCACTCACTCACTCACTCACTCACTCACTCACTCACTCACTCACTCACTCACTCACTCACTCACTCACTCACTCACTCACTCACTCACTCACTCACTCACTCACTCACTCACTCACTCACTCACTCACTCACTCACTCACTCACTCACTCACTCACTCACTCACTCACTCACTCACTCACTCACTCACTCACTCACTCACTCACTCACTCACTCACTCACTCACTCACTCACTCACTCACTCACTCACTCACTCACTCACTCACTCACTCACTCACTCACTCACTCACTCACTCACTCACTCACTCACTCACTCACTCACTCACTCACTCACTCACTCACTCACTCACTCACTCACTCACTCACTCACTCACTCACTCACTCACTCACTCACTCACTCACTCACTCACTCACTCACTCACTCACTCACTCACTCACTCACTCACTCACTCACTCACTCACTCACTCACTCACTCACTCACTCACTCACTCACTCACTCACTCACTCACTCACTCACTCACTCACTCACTCACTCACTCACTCACTCACTCACTCACTCACTCACTCACTCACTCACTCACTCACTCACTCACTCACTCACTCACTCACTCACTCACTCACTCACTCACTCACTCACTCACTCACTCACTCACTCACTCACTCACTCACTCACTCACTCACTCACTCACTCACTCACTCACTCACTCACTCACTCACTCACTCACTCACTCACTCACTCACTCACTCACTCACTCACTCACTCACTCACTCACTCACTCACTCACTCACTCACTCACTCACTCACTCACTCACTCACTCACTCACTCACTCACTCACTCACTCACTCACTCACTCACTCACTCACTCACTCACTCACTCACTCACTCACTCACTCACTCACTCACTCACTCACTCACTCACTCACTCACTCACTCACTCACTCACTCACTCACTCACTCACTCACTCACTCACTCACTCACTCACTCACTCACTCACTCACTCACTCACTCACTCACTCACTCACTCACTCACTCACTCACTCACTCACTCACTCACTCACTCACTCACTCACTCACTCACTCACTCACTCACTCACTCACTCACTCACTCACTCACTCACTCACTCACTCACTCACTCACTCACTCACTCACTCACTCACTCACTCACTCACTCACTCACTCACTCACTCACTCACTCACTCACTCACTCACTCACTCACTCACTCACTCACTCACTCACTCACTCACTCACTCACTCACTCACTCACTCACTCACTCACTCACTCACTCACTCACTCACTCACTCACTCACTCACTCACTCACTCACTCACTCACTCACTCACTCACTCACTCACTCACTCACTCACTCACTCACTCACTCACTCACTCACTCACTCACTCACTCACTCACTCACTCACTCACTCACTCACTCACTCACTCACTCACTCACTCACTCACTCACTCACTCACTCACTCACTCACTCACTCACTCACTCACTCACTCACTCACTCACTCACTCACTCACTCACTCACTCACTCACTCACTCACTCACTCACTCACTCACTCACTCACTCACTCACTCACTCACTCACTCACTCACTCACTCACTCACTCACTCACTCACTCACTCACTCACTCACTCACTCACTCACTCACTCACTCACTCACTCACTCACTCACTCACTCACTCACTCACTCACTCACTCACTCACTCACTCACTCACTCACTCACTCACTCACTCACTCACTCACTCACTCACTCACTCACTCACTCACTCACTCACTCACTCACTCACTCACTCACTCACTCACTCACTCACTCACTCACTCACTCACTCACTCACTCACTCACTCACTCACTCACTCACTCACTCACTCACTCACTCACTCACTCACTCACTCACTCACTCACTCACTCACTCACTCACTCACTCACTCACTCACTCACTCACTCACTCACTCACTCACTCACTCACTCACTCACTCACTCACTCACTCACTCACTCACTCACTCACTCACTCACTCACTCACTCACTCACTCACTCACTCACTCACTCACTCACTCACTCACTCACTCACTCACTCACTCACTCACTCACTCACTCACTCACTCACTCACTCACTCACTCACTCACTCACTCACTCACTCACTCACTCACTCACTCACTCACTCACTCACTCACTCACTCACTCACTCACTCACTCACTCACTCACTCACTCACTCACTCACTCACTCACTCACTCACTCACTCACTCACTCACTCACTCACTCACTCACTCACTCACTCACTCACTCACTCACTCACTCACTCACTCACTCACTCACTCACTCACTCACTCACTCACTCACTCACTCACTCACTCACTCACTCACTCACTCACTCACTCACTCACTCACTCACTCACTCACTCACTCACTCACTCACTCACTCACTCACTCACTCACTCACTCACTCACTCACTCACTCACTCACTCACTCACTCACTCACTCACTCACTCACTCACTCACTCACTCACTCACTCACTCACTCACTCACTCACTCACTCACTCACTCACTCACTCACTCACTCACTCACTCACTCACTCACTCACTCACTCACTCACTCACTCACTCACTCACTCACTCACTCACTCACTCACTCACTCACTCACTCACTCACTCACTCACTCACTCACTCACTCACTCACTCACTCACTCACTCACTCACTCACTCACTCACTCACTCACTCACTCACTCACTCACTCACTCACTCACTCACTCACTCACTCACTCACTCACTCACTCACTCACTCACTCACTCACTCACTCACTCACTCACTCACTCACTCACTCACTCACTCACTCACTCACTCACTCACTCACTCACTCACTCACTCACTCACTCACTCACTCACTCACTCACTCACTCACTCACTCACTCACTCACTCACTCACTCACTCACTCACTCACTCACTCACTCACTCACTCACTCACTCACTCACTCACTCACTCACTCACTCACTCACTCACTCACTCACTCACTCACTCACTCACTCACTCACTCACTCACTCACTCACTCACTCACTCACTCACTCACTCACTCACTCACTCACTCACTCACTCACTCACTCACTCACTCACTCACTCACTCACTCACTCACTCACTCACTCACTCACTCACTCACTCACTCACTCACTCACTCACTCACTCACTCACTCACTCACTCACTCACTCACTCACTCACTCACTCACTCACTCACTCACTCACTCACTCACGGAGGCTGTGTTACCTGTAGGTTTTGATGTGGTCAGCTACTCCGCACAGCTGCAGACTGTGTGTCAGGGCCTGATGATACGTCAGAGCTTGAGTGGACGAGCCCCAGTTCACATCTGTAAGACCACAACAATCCCATGAAGCACTGCTGCTGCACTGAAGAACAGCTGAAGCTGTGTCTCATGGTCCAGTCCGGTTCACCTGGTTTCTTGTAGCTGACGTAGATGTAGAGGGACAGGACGATGACGTTGGTCAGGAGGGCCGCCCACCAGTTGATGATGAACATGACCACACAACACAGGATGGCCCCGGCCAGAGACACCCACATGTTGTAGTACTTGAAGCTCGGCCTCCATCCTGACAAACACGGAGCAAACACTCAGACTCCAGTCAAACAGCAGGGCATCCGCTGCAGTACTACGGGTGAGCATTTGGCAACATAGGAGAAGGTCAAAATACCCTAATTACACCCCACAACGGGAGCCACGTATTGGAACGGAGCAACTAAACAGTTGGGATAAAACCAACAATGGTTCTTTGTGGTAGGAAAGTGCTAACTGTGCCGTTCTGCCACGTTACGCAACAGTGTGGGACACAAAGAACGGGACGCCACCGCACAGAATCAGAGCGTCCAGAATCTGCTCAAGACATTTAATACCAGACTGTTAATGGTGTCACAGCCTTAACAACAGTTTGCACAGCTGAAATGAGTCAGTTTCACAAAAGCATGTACACAGAATTGATTAAATGAAGTTAGCACCAGTTAGCACACAAACGGGCTGTTACCACCACTAGGGAGGCTTCTTGAACACAGGACATGTACTAGACTAATGGGATTTAGTGGAGTCACGGTTACAGACACAACATGACATAAAGGGTACAGAAGCACTTTAAACAAGCCACATCCGAGAGTGAGAGCTACACGTACCCTTTACGTTCATGCAATCGTGTGCAGAGACTCTACCTAATAAAGTGTCAGAAGTGAAGATATCTACCTGCTGGTCTTCTAGAGCTTTGGTATTGAGGGACAAACAAACCTCTTCACACAAAGAATAAAGAAACATGTAAAACTTCAAAAACAAGAAATGCAGTCAATAACATGATGTCATTCAGACATGAAAAGACTTTCTTTCATTTGAATAAAAAAGGTCTGATTAACACAGCCATAGGAATGGACGCTCTACACTCTAGGAACTGTTACTTTGCAAAGTTTGGTAAACACTGTAAAGGCCCCGATATACGTCAAGAGAAGTCACAGAACGAACCGGTGTGACGTCACTTCAAACGAAATCAGGCCAAAACAAAGTTCATTCTGTGAGTTTCAAGTGAACTCGAACAAAAGTGAACAGACACGAGCTGCTTTACAGGACAAACTGAAGCAGTAACTGAAACTGACACTGACACTGTATTCACTACTGTGAAGCCATCTGCTGTGTGAAGTGCGTTACTAATAAAGCAGTTCGCATCAGCATTTCTGAAGGTTAAGCACCGGATTTCACTGAACCTCCAATGAACAAATGGTCAGTTTCAAAGCCCCTTCTTTACCAGCACACTCTCTCAGCGTGACGTCATCAGGTGCGTGCGAGGCTGGGGTGTTACGCACCATCCTGACACTAATGATATTTGAGCGCTCGTCTGTGGAGACGTGACCAAGCTTGTCTACAGAGTCAATACAGCACAAGTGGAGGAACGTCTTACCGGGGGAGTTGGCCAGCGACGCGTGAAACACAGAGAAGTTGATGAGAGCGTACGATGCCAGGAAGAAATTGGAAATGATCGGGGCGATGATGTTCAACTCCGCTGGAGAAATTAAAAACAAGCATGTGTCAGAGCGAGGTGACCTCATCAACCCATCCCATCGTTTTATTCAACAACAATTTCTACCAATTAAAAATAATGAAATTTGTCGAGATCCTACCAATGAGAATGAAGGCCAAGGCAATGCCAAAGGTGAGGAAATATCCTCGCAGGGGCTCGTTGTTTTTGCCGTAGCCCTTCCCGAAAACCGCAATTCCAGGGTAGATATTGTCTTTGCATAAGGCCTGAGGAAATGGAAGAATCTATCAAACCAGCAAGACCTGTTCTGACGTCACGGAGCGAAACCACACATGTTAAAACACACAGCGGTCTCTGACATGAAGCAGCGCATGAGATACCCACCTGGAAGACTTTGGGGGCACTGACGAGAGAGGCCAGGGCCGAGGAGAGGGTCGCGGAGAAGATGCCGGCTGTGATGAGGGGCCCGAAGCCTGACACCACACTCATGACCTGCAGAACAAGACATTCAGACACAACCGCAGCCTTTCTCTGCCAATCCTGATGCATCCCGTCTGTAATGCTGTTAGTATTATTTATTTTTATTGCCATGCCAGCATCTAAGGCTATTTTCATGGCAAAACTTGTAAAATTAATTTGTAATTGTAATTGTATTTTAAGTTGTAAAATACAAATGAAGCAAACACAAAAACACAGTAATTAAAATTATACAAGGATTTTTTTAATTAATCTAATTTTTCTAAAAATCTTTTCTGATAAAATCTTACTAAATAACAGGGTTTCTGCAGGATATTTAAGCTCAAATCTAAGACTTTAAGACCTGCACAAATAAAATGAATACCATATGAGCGGGGTAAGGCAGTGTCTATAGTAACATATTAAACTGTAAAAAGCATGATTTACATTTCAGATACAAGTTTTCACAAAAACAAAAAGTTTTAATTAAACAAAAGTATTCATTACATTAATTTAAACAATTATCAATAAATGATTATATTAATTAAATAACAAATAAATTTTACCGTTTAGATTTTTATAATGCATTCTTTTTATCGATCCACCAATTCACATTTACAGCACTGCGTGTTTGCAGGGTAAAAACATGGGTCGATTTTTGCATTGGTCTGAACAAAAACAACAGGCTCACTGAAAATTAAGCCATATCGCAATTCTGGTCTTTCCGCCCCCCAATTTCTTTTTTTTTTTTATTTCCCGCCCCAAAGACTTCTTGAAATCATAATTAAGACTTTCTTGTACAATTTAAGACTTTTTATGGCTTTAAATTTGATACAACTAAATCTAAGACGTTTTAAGGACTCGCAGGAACCCTGAACAAGTCCCCGAGTGAGCATACTTCATAAAAAAAAACTAGGCATTAAAACTAGGCCTGGGCGATAAAACGGTATCGATATTTAATCGACGGTACACCTTCTTCGATAACGATATAAAAAAAATGTTCGATATAGTGCAGGATATAGGCACGTGCTCTGAGTGACGCAGACAGCACACACGAACACATGCTGAAATGAGTGCTGTGTCTGCCTGTGATGAGGAGATTGAGAATAAAGAATGAATATTAGTCGAATTTAAAATAAACATTTGCATTTGAATGTTAGGAGTGAGGAATGTTTTGTTAGTCTAGCCCATGAGACGCGCCGCTGCTGCATTATTCATTCAAAATATTAGAGAAATATAGAAGCTCAATGCGGAGAAGATCTTGAATGATTAAAACTGAAACCAAGCCATTCACACAGAATGCATATTCAGCACATTTTTAGACGGACAAATATGACTGCTGGACTCGCGTCTCGCACAAAAGATGTATAGAAAGCCATGCAAAGTTAAAACAGTTTAAACTTTTAGAAAACACGTCACGAATTTGTGGAGGTTTATTCCTTTTCACTGCATCTCGTATGTTTTTAAATGCCATCTGTGATGGGCGATTTGGCTCTTTGTATTAAGCAATGCATAAACACGTTACTATTTTGTTCATAATTGTTTATGCAATTTACAAAATTATATTTGATTTATATGAGTTAATTTATATTAATATTTGTTGTTTGTCTCAATAAATTGGGTTAATTTAAAAATACAGTGGTTAAATAAAAAAAAAAAGTCTATTGCTCTTTGTTTTAAAAAAGGTTATATAAATGTCAATAATTATCGATACCGAACGATATGAAACATTATATAGTTTCTTTTTTTTAGCTATATCGCCCAGCCCTAATTAAAACCAATACATTCCAATAAAATGTTTCATTTGGCCAGAGTCTGTGCTGTGTGCCAAGTGGAAGCGTTTTAGCATTATGCCTTAAAATGATGCTCAGGACGCTCACTAGGATTTGGAACGGAGTCATAATGTAGAAAAAGCTGTTGTCTGTATGTCTGCTGTCGATGATGTACCTGGAAATCATTGTAAAGGCCGAACTTGCAGGCAGACTTCCCTCCTTCAACAGGTCTGCAGGAACTGAAGTCATAGCCGAACTTACAGGCCGCATCAGTGCAGTTTAAGCCACTGAGAGTTACGTTACTCTCCATTCCTGTAGCATCCCGCACGATGCAAGCACCTTTCAACAAAACATTCAATACATAATACAAATCAATCAATAATACAGGAGTAATCAAAACGATATGCAATTCTGAGAGAGTATACCTGCAGAGATGGCCACACCCACGTACACGAGGCCCGTTATGAGGATAGCCAACAGCGTTCCTTTAGGGATGGCCATTTGAGGATCCTTAGAGAAAAGAAACCATTACAGAGAATCTTTGCAGAGACTGTGATGAAGAGTAACTAAATGCATTGAGGAAAGGATTGCCGACACTCACTGCTAGATCTCCTGAGATGTTGGCTCCAGCCAAAATGCCTGTGGCAGCTGGGAAGAAGATGGAAAAAACGGAGAAAAACGTCTCCCCTCGAAAGTCTGGGCCAAAGTTATCTGCCAAGATGCCCGCTAAAAAGACAAGATGTCCGATAATTACAGTAGTTAGATAATGGAAAGCACAACAGGAATGAATAAAGAGAAAACAACTACCAAATTTCAAACTCAGAACTCAGGTCACACAAAAACATTCCCAGTGGCCTTGGACTATCCTGAACTATTGTTCTTAACTGGTTTTCCCTAAAGACTCAAATGGCGATCAAGTGACATTGTTAAAGTAAAAAAAAATTTATATTATACCAAGAAAAACTACAGCAAATCTCAGAAGCCTTGGCTTCATGGTTTCCACCTTTTTAATTTTTTAAGGTTTCATTCTTGCCAGTGAGTAATTCACAGCACAAAACACTGTGCTCAGCACAAACCATGTTTATCAAACACAGTAGAGTTTGATTTGACGCACACCCTTTTACATTATTAAAAAAAAAAACGTTCATAGCAGTTTATCATGTACATACAGCTTTGTTTTCTTTCTGATGCCCACCGGTTGATAAGTGCTGGTCTAGATGAGCTCATTCTTACCGTCATAGCTGAAGAAGCCAAATTTCTCCTTGGACTCGACAGGGATGAAGGTCCCAATGAAGTAGTTAAAGATAGCAGTGACCAAAATGAACAAGAGGAATATTTGAGCCTGTGAAACAAAATCATTTTGACAAATGGTGAATTCATAAGGTCAGCACTGGCTGATGATCAAAGAAAACTGAAGATACACTAAATCTCCTGCCTTGGCCTCCCACTCCATTCCAGCCACTGAGACGCCAAGCAGCAGGATGACTGTAATGGTTCCAATGATCCTGACGTCATTAATCTCATCGAGCATGAGCGCACCGGAATTCTAAACGGACACAAACCCATGTGATTAGTCGGCCTACACAAAATAATTTTAAAGCAAACTGAACAATGTATGAGAGAACAGAACTGCGCCTCTTACAATGAGCAGCTCAACTACAGTTTCTGCAAAGCCCACGACGTACATGGCCACAGCCACAGCGTTGGCAAAGGCAAAAATCAGACCAATGGAGCCGCCAAACTCTGGGCCCAAACTTCGAGATATTAAGTAATACGCCCCACCTGAAGAAAAGATATTAAACAGATCACCTTTCTGAAAAGACAATTCGAGGCTGATTTATCAGTTATCCTGTTGCATCATTAAGAGGCCCTTTAAAATATTCTGAAAATCGCACCATCGTGATTTCATGAGCAGGTGCACACAAACACTTGGACAAATTCAAGTTCATTGCTAGGACCTTTTGAAACGGAATGGTGGCCATACATGCATTGCTTACTCACACATTCGGTTATGTTATTTCAGTATTTTATCCAAGAGCAGTTCATCATTTGGCAACTTTGGCCTCATTCTGCGGACGCAAGATTCTAAACAAATGCTACACAGTCTTTCACTGAACTCAAATCATTAACTGATTCTGGTCCTGCCCTTGTGTTTGTTCTTCATGTTAACTGCATTTTGAGAGTTTTCTGAATAAACGGTTGAATCATTCAGGCTAATTTGTCTATTGGCAAGCGGGAGTAAAAAGTAGAGCAGTGTGTGTTGTGGATATAGCAGTGGTAGACCAATCCATTGTGTGTCTCAATGATATATCCCAGTGATACAGTGAGAAGAGGAATGGGCCCAGCACCGAACCCTGAGGTACCCCTGTGGATAAGATCAGAACGGGTCAAGTTACCAATAACAATGAAGTACTCTCAGCTATGCTGAAACATCCTCCCATATTCAAGCCTAGTCTAAAGATTTTCCTAATAATCAGGGGTGAGAAAAGTGCACAGACTGAGTACAGATCGACTTGAGGGAGTGTTTAATGCTAGATCTTATTTATGCAAGTGTGTATGTATTAATAAATGACTGGAATACCAGAGAAGATTAGGCCTAATCTGATTAACGGCTACACACCTACAGTGTGCTACAGTGACGGGAAGCATTAGCACAAACACACATCAAAAATCCTGCATGCAATGCTGAAAAACAATATATGTAAAGTAGTGAATGTAATTTTTCTGATGAGTGTGAGAAAGCAGTTCTCTAAACTAAAAAGAGCTGCAGTGACAGCTAAATATCATTGAGGATCTCAAACAAACCCAATCCTACACACACACACCCACACCCTCCCGTGACTGGGTTAATAACTAACACCTAAGGTGCTAATGGAAAAATATTGATTTGCTTCCACACTGAAACAAAAACTTTCTCTAGTGCCATCACCCTGCTCTCAGATGAAGGCCTGTAGAGAGGGACAGCTATCCATTTCTGCCTTCCAGACTGCCAACGAACCTCACAATTGCCTGAGAGAAAAACACTGAGATCTTAAAACACTATTGAATTTCCCCACAGGCTGTGAGAACTGGAAGCATTACGCCGAGTACCTTACTGCCCCTTCATCCGCCGTTAGTGTAGTGCTAGAACAGTTACGTCACACTCATGCACTCAGATAGGAGTTCAAAAAGACTATGCCACCAAAAATGAGAAAACCTCATGTGAAGACCTCAGGAACAATACCTCTACCCTATAGGGTTCATAAAACGAGAGTCTGTATGTAAACAAAGTTAACCACATGCAAGTAATGACTAAGTAACAATAATTGATGCCACCAAAATCTCTTTTGGGAATCTGTCCATTTTCTCCTCTTTCCTCATCATGGGTGCATTTCTAGCCTGTCCTCTGCCGTGTTTTCAACCTCTACAACTTGTTGTAGTAAATATCCACATTTGATTGAGGAAATAAAGGCTATTAAAATCATAGAAGGAAGACTTCAACTTGTTTCTATCATTTTTGTTATGCATTTTACATCTGCCCGTAGATGAGCTTACAATGTCAACCCTGTTGGGGTCACTCGTGTACAGTAAACAATTGGATGTTTATGGAATATCAGCATTTATCCACATTGTGTCATTTGTGTGTAACAGTTTCACAACAGGCACCCTTTGAATGGTTTTTGCACCAGTGAAAGTCACAGTTGAAATAATGCACACGGTGCTAATGCACTTTTTTTTTTTAATTACCTCCTCGTACAAAGCCATTGGTGGCGATCGCAGAGGTCGAGCAGCCCGTGATGGTAGTCACAACAGTGGCCATAACAACAATGATGCAGGAATACGCTGTGGAAATAAAAAGGTGAAATGACAGTGAACGTTTCCACGACACATGGTTATCAGGTTCAGCACTCGTGTTTTCAACCTCTACAACTTGTAGTAAATATCCACATTTGATTGAGGAAATAAAGGCTATTAAAATCATAGAAGGAAGACTTCAACTTGTTTCTATCATTTTTGTTATGCATTTTACATCTGCCCGTAGATGAGCTTACAATGTCAACCCTGTTGGGGTCACTCGTGTACAGTAAACAATTGGATGTTTATGGAATATCAGCATTTATCCACATTGTGTCATTTGTGTGTAACAGTTTCACAACAGGCACCCTTTGAATGGTTTTTGCACCAGTGAAAGTCACAGTTGAAATAATGCACACGGTGCTAATGCACTTTTTTTTTTTAATTACCTCCTCGTACAAAGCCATTGGTGGCGATCGCAGAGGTCGAGCAGCCCGTGATGGTAGTCACAACAGTGGCCATAACAACAATGATGCAGGAATACGCTGTGGAAATAAAAAGGTGAAATGACAGTGAACGTTTCCACGACACATGGTTATCAGGTTCAGCACTGTCTGCGGCTGGCTTCACACTGTATGCATACATTTCCAGTGTTGGGGCTGCTAAATGACAGCTGACCGCTCACAACGCCTCACAGCAACATTCAACATGTGCATGAGAAATGACTGTAGCTCGATGGAAAACACAAGAGTGTGCTTGTGAATTGAAGTGCTAATTCACACGGCCGACCAAAGTCAAACCTACCAATTCCAGCCTGGCCCACGATCCATGTCATTCGAATGAAGAGCATCACGCCCCATATGTTTAACATGCAGCGCACCTGCACAGAGGAAGGATGCAGTTTAGACTCATGCTGACAAAAACATCAAGGACCAAAGCCGTTTCTCAAACCTCATTCACCGGGACGATGAGCGCTGGACAGGAACCCATCTGTGTTTGAAGGAAAGCTGCGGGCTGACGGCTATCGATGGCATGTGTGGCTTGACGTCACGTCCGTTACCACAAAAGACTTTACCAGTATAACAGCAATACTTCTACAGGACAAACAAACCTGCCCAGAGCTGCAGCGGGTTTTGCCTAAGCAGTTTATTATTTGATACAAACTATTCCAAAATAATCTTTTTGTGGCGTGACAACAGTTCCAGATGGATACACTTTTGTCTGTGTGTTATTACTGTAATTCCTGTGGGTGAGTTTACTCCATCAGCAAGCAATTCTTTTACACTACTTCAATATGAACATGAGGTACTGAAGGAGGAGCAGAAGTTTTCTTCTGAGGTAACGGACATTACACCACACAGCCTGTCGACGGAGAACCCGGATCAGTCCTTCAAGCACATTTGAACACAAACCGGTTTCAAAGATTGACTGAGTTCCTGCCGTGGTTTGAAAGACACTTTGGATGAAAATGAATTTTCACTTGTCGACACTATGAGAAGCTGTTTGGTGTCAAATGTTAAGACTGGGAAGGTGAAAATGAGGACAATTTTAAGGACAAGGAAGACCTGTCAAAATATTGACCAAGAGACGAGAAGCAGAGCTGATCTGTGACCCATAAAGCTTTTACTGGATTCACACGTGTCAGCGAGGAAGACGGTCTGCACTGAGCAAAGCCACGGCTTGTTGAGAGTATTAGCATATTAAACATTACAAGAGCACGACAGTTTAGCATGCAGCCTCTAATAGGAGTCTCTACAGGCAGCAGATATAGCAAACTAACAAAAAACCCAATTATCACCCACAGCAGAAAAATCTCACTCATCGCCCACGTTATATTCATTCCCATCTTGGATTTTGTGTGGGTGCCACAATTCTGAGACAAATGCCATTAACTGCTGCGCTGACTTCTGCTGAAGCATGTTTGATCTGATGTTAACTCCTCTTACCAGCACTCCTTTGATCCAGCCGAACTTCACCACTCCTTTAGACTCGGAGGCTTCTTTAGCTGCGGCCTCCTCTGCAGGGGTCAGCTCCTCGCCGTTAGCAAAGCCATCCTCGAACGGCTCCTGCAATCGCAGATAAACACATGCATGAATACGTCTGAGTATGGAGTAACACGCAATGAAGAATCACTCGCGGCCAAAATGAAAACGCTTGGAAGTATAGTAATATTTTAGCACTTATCTTCAAGTAAAAGTTGTTCTCATGTCATAGTTAAAATTTCAAATATTCTCCTTCCGGTAGATTTGCCAACCGCCATTACAAGTTAAAGACGATGCTCAAATGTGTTTAGCCGCCATTAAACCAAAAGAAGAAGAAATGTGGGAGCGTGACGCACGAGAACTAGTGAGGGCTGTTCTAGCGCATCACACATTTGAGCTTCCGTGTTCAGTGTCTTTGATGCGCACTCTTGTAACGACCACTCACTCATTTATCCTTCACGTTTATCTGCCGTCAGACACCGAGAGGTTGTTGCCATAATGCATTGCTACTGGTTGCGTCTTGCTTCGGATTTGAGTGCCAGACTGGCATTGTGACAGCGCAAGCTTCATGCTTTCTAACCATATCTCCACTTTTTACCTTTATGTTGCAATTGTTCTGCTTATTGTACATATAAAATACAAAACGTTTACATCAGTAGACCCAATGTCTTTATAAAGTTTGTGCACCTAAAACAGTATCTTGTATACACACACACACACACACACACACACACACACACACACTTGCAATTGTTCTGCTTATTGTACATATAAAATACAAAACGTTTACATCAGTAGACCCAATGTCTTTATAAAGTTTGTGCACATAAAACAGTATCTTGTATACACACACACACACACACACACACACACGTATATTACTTTTACTGCCTGCACAAACACTGGATTGATTTTAATAGCTTTAATGTACTTGAATTGTGCATCAAACACTAGAAACATACAAGTATCTGATCAGAACTTGGTATTGGCAGATACGCAATATTCAGTGACTGTGGGCACAACAAAAACCTGATTGGGATATCCCTAATATCACCATAAATGATGTACAAGTGGCTAATGCAAATGAACTGCAAACATGAAAACAGTCCTGAGCTCGAGACAGCAGCACAGTTGCTGTCTTTGTGTCTGTGAAAGGTCAAACGCAGGAAGTGTCCCTCCTCCACAGAAACAAAGCCATGACGAAGGCAGCCGGCCATTACAGCTCCTGGGAAATAAACGACCGGCCTGACATCCACACAGAGACTTCACAATGACAATGTGAGGAGTTTACAACATCCTGTCCAGCGCACATAAAGCCCTGGTTTGGACTGTGGAAAAAGCAAGCAGCGGTTCGATGCGAGCGCAGGAGCTGTACTGACATCTGTTAGAGGTGTTCAATGGCAGAGCTGCACGCCGAGGACAAAAGTACAGGAGAAATCTGTCAAAGATCCCGACAGAAGGATCTCTCTTCACTCCACACCAGCACATTTCTTCAGGATATTCGTTCAGCTGAAGGGCACGTGAAGCTTGTGTCCTTGACCAAATGAGTGAGTGTTGATGGGATTCATATGTGACATTGAGTGGAGTGTATTGATGGCCGGTGGCTGCAGGACATACTTTATTACACGCCTAATAACTTGGCAGCACTTTACTAATATTTTTCCCCTCCATCAAAAAAGCCACAACCTTTAACCCGTAATGAATAACCCTGCTGAAGGTGGGGATCTAATAACGAAAGGATTCGTTACCACACATTGTGATTAGTGGTTATTAAAACCTATTCAAAAACACTATTCTATGACTAATAAAGTGACCTAATTCACAGCAGAATCAACAGGATGAACAGCAAGAATTTCAGTCCAGATCATTTCAGTATGAAGCATTATTTTATTCTCTGTTTTAATTGGACTTGATTGCATTTTTTCATTTGATCCGTTTTAATCTGTAAAAATAATTTTGGTAATCCAAAAGCATGTCTAATTAATAATGAAACTTGTTCAATTTAACAGCAATTAGGCCTAATTAAAACATTTATTCATTTTGTTCTTTATAACTTCCCTAATTCCATGTCTCCTGTTTTGATTCCCAGCAGTGAATATGGGAAGGAAGAGTGGCAAACAATATACCAGCAGATGAAGTGGGTGATATAAAAAAAAGAAAAAAGAAAAAAGTGCTAACTTTTGCACTTGGAATAATGAAACAAGCCAGACTTTAAACTGCAATGAGAAGTGCCTTCTGAGAGGTGCAAACGACCAAACACCGTGCGTCAAACAAAGAGCTGCACACACACACACACACACTCAGTGTTTTCTGGTTCATTTCTGCTCCTCACTGCATTGAGTGATCATACAGTACTGTATAATGACCACGTGACCACGAGACCAGCACTGCTTCACACGTCTCTCGCATCTCTCTCCATGCTCTCTCATAGACATGTCAACCCAAGTTAGGAAAGTTAATTGGCAGCTACCTATTTTTCCAAGTCATTTGCAACACCATGCGTCAAACAAAGAGCTGCACACACACACACACACACACTCAGTGTTTTCTGGTTCATTTCTGCTCCTCACTGCATTGAGTGATCATACAGTACTGTATAATGACCACGATGACAACAGACCAGCGCTGCTTCACACGTCTCTCGCATCTCTCTCCATGCTCTCTCATAGACATGTCAACCCAAGTTAGGAAATTTCTGGTTCATTTCTGCTCCTCACTGCATTGAGTGATCATACAGTACTGTATAATGACCACGATGACAACAGACCAGCACTGCTTCACACGTCTCTCGCATCTCTCTCCATGCTCTCTCATAGACATGTCAACCCAAGTTAGGAAAGTTAATTGGCAGCTACCTATTTTTCCAAGTCATTTGCTCTTTGTATGGGTTCCTGCTGAAGCAGGATCTGAATCCACAACACACATTAGCGGATTCAGTCAGACTGAACAGAAAGTGTGCATTAGTGAGGGACCTGTAGCAGCGGCACGGACATGGATGAAAACACGGCTTTGTTTGAGCTTTTCAACAGCTCGTCATGAATCCGCGAGGCTCGGTGAGGGGCACGTGAAAGACCAGACATCACACACGCTCCTATGAGCGCTTCAGAATTTAAGGAACACGAGTTTAAGAAAGAGAAATTTGATGAAATATAATTTTATCAACTGTGTTTTTTGTTTTTGTAATATAAAGCATGCACTGATAAAGCATTTACAACAAAACATGAATTGGCAAAGTAAAGAGTAGGCTAGTTTCCTCCAGCAGACTGCAGCCTTCCGAGTAGGGTTGGGTATCGATACTTTTAAAATGGTTCCGGTGCCTAAACCGGTACTTATTCAAACTAAATAAATAAATAAAAATGGATGAAAAAAAAAAAAGGATGGACTTTCCATTAGCACTATAAACACATGATGTCCGTTTCATTCACACTGCACGCCAGAGGGCGCCCTCGCACAGAGAATCCACACATCCAGTCACTGAAGTAGAGAACTCGTGACCCTCCAGGAAATCCCTCATATGCACAAAGACATGCTATTATAGCTGTGACTGAGTAAACCGAACATAGAAACGTTTTGAATGATAAAACAAAGACAATAAACACTCGACTGCCACAATATAGTTTATCTGTGTTATTCAAGCCATCTCTGGTATTTTCATAAGTATATTTATAATCCATTGCTAATCGATGTATTTTTAAAGAAGCCTATGGAACATATTTTCTGCCTCGTTCTGTGACGAGCTTTTAAAACGGTTCCGGTGCCTAAACCGGTACTTATTCAAACTAAATAAATAAATAAAAATGGATGAAAAAAAAAAAAGGATGGACTTTCCATTAGCACTATAAACACATGATGTCCGTTTCATTCACACTGCACGCCAGAGGACGCCCTCGCACAGAGAATCCACACATCCAGTCACTGAAGTAGAGAACTCGTGACCCTCCAGGAAATCCCTCATATGCACAAAGACATGCTATTATAGCTGTGACTGAGTAAACCGAACATAGAAACGTTTTGAATGATAAAACAAAGACAATAAACACTCGACTGCCACAATATAGTTTATCTGTGTTATTCAAGCCATCTCTGGTATTTTCATAAGTATATTTATAATCCATTGCTAATCGATGTATTTTTAAAGAAGCCTATGGAACATATTTTCTGCCTCGTTCTGTGACGAGAAGCCTCATCAGATCACAGAAGGAAGTATTTGACTGGTGTTGTGGAGTAAAAAGGTTATAATGTTCTCTTTTGTTGGACAACAGGTTTAGAAATGTGAACACAAGGGAGGTTTAGCTTTAGGCGTTTTAGTTTAAGCATGTTTAGCTTAGTTAACGGAAGCCATCAGAGCAAGTGTAATTACTGCCTTCACGCGCTCCTCGATGCTCTCAGTTCCCGAGCTCTGCTTTTAAATCGGAATGTGAAAACAACATGGACACTCGCGTTACTACAAAGATGTGTTGGATCTGTATTATTAGAGCTTTCCCGCTTGAGTTTTCTCAGTCGGGGAATTGTTTTTCTCGTGCGGTGCCGGTGATGATGCTTCTTACGTTCGTTTCGGAGAACCAGAGGACACATATTTCAATCGATCGCTCGGGCATGGCACTGAAATGAGGCACCGAAATCTGCGTTCGGATTCGGTTCTAGTACATACCGGTTACATAGGTACATTTCGGTACCCAACCCTAGTCCAGAGAGCCAGTGCTCTGCCACAGACGCCGATCCTTCAGCACACACACAGCTACGCTGGAGAAGGACAGTGCATCAACGTCTCAATCCGATTCCTCTCTTTCTGCTGATGAAAGATTCACAAGTCCACATTTCTCAAGACTCTGACCTTCCAAATGAAGTCGCTTCCCACTAAAACCATTTAGCGGCTTTATTCCCTGTCTGAACCAGATCAAACCCCCTCCTCACTTGTGATCTCCGGAGATGAAGACTGTGAAAGAGGCTTCTTCCATGAAGCAGCTCAAAGACGAAAAGTCTTGTTTTGAGAATATGAAAACTGGAAATGCAAAGCAATATTGTAACAAATTTAACAGCACATGACCAGCACCAGTCCTTGTGCCATCTGACTATGCAGCGTG